CTGGAATTCTCCTTTGAATTCCCTTAAGAAAAGTCCACAGAATGGTCTCCACTGCCCTCTGTGTTGCCTGTTTTTACCTGGAGGAACTTCAGCTCATTGATTGGCTGAAAGTTCCATGGGCATCAGAGTCCCACGTGGGTTACTCGGCCCTACCAGTCCCTAATCGGTTTATCAAGGTGAAATATGAGTCACTTACTCCTGACACTTAGGAATGCAGTCCAGATGTCCATCTGGCACTCCCTAGATAGATAGGTGCCAATGGATGACCATTGATCATGATAGCCAGGCTTAGCTAAGTGCATCCCCATTTGGGAGCTGTCCCTTATCAAAAGAAAACATCCTTCCGTATCGCATTAAAATTGAAACGCTTTTCACAGGTGTAAATCCACCTATTTTCTAAATGCTTTATCCAGGACAGGTAACAGTTTCACAACTCACCCTTCCCTCTGCCTGTCTGACTTTCTTTTTAACCCTTCTGTGCCCGAATCGAAATGGGTGAGAAAGAAACAAAGTGAAACGGAGCATACACATGAAATTTCATATTCTTTACTCAACAGCTTTTTAAAAACAGCACCCAATGAAGTTCAAATCATGATGTCCGTGATTTTTTTACACAAAGGACTGACACAGCTACTGTATATTCGGCTAGTGTGTATTGTCTGTTTAGGGTTCCGTAGCATTCCATTTAATGTTGTGTTTCTACTTGCAAGAATAACGATTACAAACATTAAAAAACATCCTCGCTTTATACTGTCTAACTGAGCAAACTTGCTTTTATAAAATATACCGACTTTTTCATGTTTGATGTGTAAGATGCTGTAATACAGTTTAAAATGATTAAAAGTCTAAACAGTATCAACTTGAATTCTTATCTCTATTAATATAACTATCAAGTGGTATTAAATAAATACAGCTTTTTAGTATATATTACAGTTTTCTAAAAATTTATTTTAAAAATAAAAACGATTACAATCTAATCTTTCCATGTTTGATCCCAAGAGGAACCACAATACACTGCTGCTTTGTTTAGCGATGGTATGAAAAATAAATCTAAATGGAGAGAAAGCTATGCTGAAAGATGATTAAGATACTTAGAAGACAAAGATAATGATTTACGTTGCATTGTCAGATTGTGAATTAATAAAGGCATTTAATTAAACACGCATTTATGTTTTCATTTAAAATGGGACTAATGGGGACACTCTTATTATTTCTCTCTTCTCTCTCTTATTGTCAAAACTCATTCAGTTGTGATTCTTTTGGTTTCACGGAGGGCTTCTCAGATAGTTGGGCATTCAGGTAGATTTCCATGCGAAAGGATTAGTAAATATATTTTGTTAAAGCAAGACATAAAAGACATTTTTCCAAGAAAGATCTGATGATGAGGAAGAAAAATCACCCATTTTTCATGCACAAAAAGTGGTTATTAAATATCGAAACCTGTTTTTATCGCTTTTAAAGTCATGCAATTTCTAAGTTAAGCAGGAACACATCATTACATCTCACTTTTTATTTCTTTTTTTTAAATTAAAAAAATTGATTGCCCAGCCTAAGGGCATTTATAATATTGTGTCATTATAATATAGGATGGACACAGTGACTCAGGCACTCGTTGAATGAAAAACAATGCTTTATTTTTCAGTACAGCTGAGTACAGAGAGAGACACACACACACTTTTTCATTGACAATAAGTAACGCCACACTCTCCTGTTAAACGCACACAGGCAGCTGAAGCACCATGTCTCTTCCCGTATAAAGTCTTTGTCTCCATACTATGGCCACTGTAGTGCAGACTCACAGATTTTTTGTAATGTGAACTCAGCCCAATCCCTTGGTGTATTTATATTATATTTTCATGTACGAGTAGAATAGGTGCATTGTCTTCCAATGAAAGACAGTCAGGGGACAGTAGAAACTCGCCACAGCCGGACTGTTAGATTAACTCAATCAACCTTAATAGCCTTGCAAATGAGCTCACACTGTTGGATATATACTCGACACTCCAGAAACACATTTTACTGTACATGTCAAACCGATTGCTTTCTATTGCTGATGTGCTCCCGCGGAGACTTTTTTTTTCCTCATAGCACTTTACACTTAAACTACTGAGTGAAATAGGTTTAATACAGGTGGGTAACTGCGTACAGCATGCGTAGGCTGCAAAGGAACAAGTAATAGGTTTATTCCATGCTGAAAGAGAAGAAAGACAACACAACGTTTCGGCCGTATCAGGCTGTGCTGTTCTGCTTCCTATGGTTATATATGGGTTTTTCGCACGAAGTTGTATTGAGCAGTATTTCTCGTGTTGTGAACGTGTGTACACAACTGTCCCCCTGGGTTCCAGTTAGGGCGTAATTACGCATTGATAAAAAACTGGAGGTTTTAAAAAAGAGAATTAGCTCACTGATAGTTTTATGTGGAGGCTGTGAAGATTTTTTATAAGTCGTGGTCTTTAAAATGCATTTGGTTTGAAGGCTTTCTGTGTTTCCCTTCCAAGGATATGGACAGAAGAATATTCAAGCGTGGTAAAAAATATGGTTTAAAAACGACATAGTGAAGCAGGCTGTGCCTGCTAAAGCACCACAATTCACACTGTCAGATTCACACACAGATCAGTCCCAGTGTGTGAGATATTGATCTTTGATCTGAGCTTTTTATTTATTTATTTTATTTAATATTTATTTTGTATTACTGTACGTATTCTAATTTTTCGTCTATTCTGATGTCTGTTTTTTTTTTTGCTTGTCTTGGGCTGGACTGCTCTAACACATCAATTTCCCTTCGTGATCAATAAAGTCTTATCCATCTATCTAAATGCTGTACAGAATGCTGTACTAAATGCTTTATTAGCTCCTCCTGGTGGTTTTACAAGGTGATTCCGGATACTATTAACATAATCTAATTTGCATATGGTAAATTGCGAAATGACGCATTTTGATGCACGCCTACTCTGATCTTATACTGCACCATACCCTGCTTGTTTTGAATGGCTGCATCTGTACAAGTCAGTTTGTAAAGTTCTACCTCCGTCAGCAAAATTTATATTTATCACCATATCTCTTAGCGATTGCATGCTCTTAAAACACACCATAAACTTGAAAAGTGTTAATTGTAAGCTTTATATACTGTGTACAATGTATATATAGTAAAAAAAAAAAAATGATTGTTTTTTCTCCTTTCACATTTTATTCCATGCATGAGGCTTAGACCCATTGGAAAATGTGGCTAGATGTACAGTACACTGTATGATTAATAAACTTTTTTTGTCTAGTATCAGGAGTGACCTGAATTACTAATTTCTCTATTTTTTACCACCTTAGTCTGCATAATAAAGGTTGTTCTGAATTGTAATAAACATATGTGTTTTGGAAATGTAAATTGTTTAACCCATTGGACTTCTTTATGGGATGCAACAGGACATAGCACCTGACTGCTGCTGGTAGATATCTCATGATAACAAAAAGTATTATGTGCAAGCAAAAAGAATGAGAAGCAATCAGTATGGAATATAAATATAACTACAGGTAATGTATTTGAGGAAACTGACATTCACATAAGATGCCTTGGGGACCATACCTTAGAGATGAGAAAGGATTAACCTTGTCACTATAAAAGAAGAGAAAGAGTCACTCTAATGTTATTAGACACCCATATCTACTTGTAATAAATGTAGAAAAGTATGTCCTTTCTTTTCTGAAAGAGATAAAGTTAAACTTAGCCGATAGAAAAAAAAATCTTTAGACAGTGGAACCGAAGATGATTTTGCTGCTGTTCATAAAAAAAAACTGCCTGCATAGCAAATGTAATTTAAAAATGTGCACAATGTTTGTTTCCTTACATATTATTGCACTGATGAATATATGAAACTGGGTCAAATTTCACAAGTGTTTGTCTTCATGGTTCTCCTGATTAATTAATATCATCTTAAGCAGGCTTTAATGGATTTATTTATACTTTCATGTAGAGATAATTGTGTGGTGTATGATTAGGGATTTTATTATTTAAGATTCCCATTATATAGGGACAGATGATATACTGTCATTAATATATAATGATGGAAAAAAGTCACGCAACATTTTCTGGAATGAGAATACTACAGTTATAGCTTATGTACTTTCACAAAAAGTTGTCAATCTGTTTTAAGCCCTCTGACCAGCAATACAATTGTGCAGTTAGGAAATGCAACTTTCCGATTACACAAAAGCTTGTTAGATGCACTTTTACCCAAAGAAGTCCAGGTCGAACAATGCCTGATCAAGTCACCTTTAAAAAGGCATAAATTCAAAGCTTAGGTCACTGCAAGAGAAAGACCACACTTAGTCATTTTTCTGTGCATTCCATAATGCCTCGAATGTCACCAGAAGCAATGGAGAGAGCCATTGGCATGCTGCAAGCAGGCATGTCATGTGCCAGTGTTGCCAGACACTATGGAGTAAGCCACTCCACTGTATCCCAGCTGCAGAGACCACACCTCGAGTAACCACACCAGAGCTGGATCAACACATCAGAGTGTTCCATCTGAGAGATCAATTCAGATCTGCCACCTGTACTGCTGAAACAGCCAGCAGACACAATGCCTGCATCAGTGACAGTGAGGCTCCATGCTTCTGGTCTTAGAGCAAGGCGATCTGTCAGAGGCCCTCTGTTCACACCTCCTTTACATCACACCAACTGGCTTGGGCCTGACAGAGGCTGCGATGGACTTATCAGCAGTGGCATTAGGTCCTGTTCACTGATAAGTCACCCTTCAGCCTGTTCCATGGAGATGGGAGGGCCAGAGTGTGGTGGTGGAGGTTTTGCATTTCTTTTTTTCATCAGTATATATTTAATTATACCCCACAAACTAATTTGACTAGTATCTATTTTCCTCATATTTCAACAGATATTAGGCAGCTTGTTACTTTAGGGTGTGTGGCTAGACACGGCTCTGATCTAGAAAGCATTAGGTGTCTACACTGCTGTTGTCTGAGTTGCTTAGTGTGTTCTACATGTTTTTCAGCCATTGGAGAGCCTGTCAGTATTGAGTGGTTCAACCCCCAAGGGGAGCGAATCATGTCCTCACAACGCGTGGTGCTGCACACAGAGAGGGTTCGTTCACGACTCACCATCTACAATGCCAACATTGAGGATGCAGGCATATACAGGTGCCAAGTTTCTGATGCCAGGGGCCAGACACAGGAAGCCACTGTGGTCTTGGAAATCTACCGTAAGTGTACATGGTCAAATATTACTCTGTTCAGCTGTTGATGGCTGTTTAATCTCTGAATGGTCACATGGTATCATATATCTCATGTCTTTTGAAGATTTTGTTTCCCTTTTCAAGCTTATTTTTAAACATTCAATTAAGAATTGAACAAAGATAAACAAACTTGGAAGTGCTTTGGAAAAACATATATGTATTTTAATTACTTAACGCAAAACAAATCTTAAAAAAATATTTAATTTCAGAACCATGTGAATTAAAATGCTAAATGATTAATTCACTTAATAATGAGCAATGATTAATGTTGTTATTCTCCTTCTCTGGATTCTTTCAAGAGATCCAGCTATGTTCCTCTGTCTGGAGATTAAAAAAAAAGCTGGAGATCAATCGTGAGAAAAAAAATCACATTGATATGAGTCTTGTTGTTTTGATTCAAACTATTTTTACTCTGCATCCAAGCACTTCATCTTCTTTGAAACTCGGTATGTGACAGCAAAATAAAATGAAAACGCTGCAGTAGTCTGAGGTTTAGTCAACTGCTTAAAAACAGACAATAGGGATGTAAAAACAAGTTTTTGCATCAGAATCCAAAAAATATGTAGCTAGTTTAAAGCACTGAAATAGCTGTACTATGGCAGAGCTGTTTTAATTAAGTATGGTATTTTGAAACACTTGCATCAACAAAAGAAGGGAAGCCTTTCAACAAGGAAGAAGGTCAGAAAGTAAAAAGCCATGAAAACATGAAACAAATATACAGATGCAGCCATTCAAACTGCACTGTACAAACCCATAATGCACACATCTACCCACAAGCCACCGAAGTGGTAAGTGATTGGCTGGGCAAAATGACCGATAGGGGTACTCGTGGTGCATTGGTCGGTGGTGAAAAGATTTAATCATTTAATCTCTTTACTGTGCACATTTTAATCCGCTTAGTGTTGAATATTTATATGGAATTTTACAACTAAAGAGACATTTTAGTAGCTCAGCATAAAAAGAAGTGGAGCATAACACATCTGAAGGTCATAAACGATATTAATTTAGGAACATAAACATATTACTGTATGTAAACTGTACTGTATATGGCTGGTCTTGGTAGTTTAAAGAAAAAATACACACCAGTCTTCCATTTCTCCCTAAACATTTTAAGCATCAAAGTTTTATGAAACGGTCCCCAAATATGCGATTGCTGTATAGAATGAATTTTAATTAAAAAAATATATATATTTAATTAAGCTGTTTACTTTCCTCCGCCTTAAAATGTAGTCACTCGTTGATACGCAACTCAGAAACACAGCCACTAACTAGCAAAGAGAGGACATTAGCTAGCCAATATGATAAAGGAATAAATGATTTTTTTATTTCTTTTGCACATTTATTTGAACATTTCCATCGATTGTACAAGCACTTGGAAACTGTCCAATCCCTAGTTCGTCTGCAATTTCTTTTATGCTCCGGGCATTCTCCCGGTCTGTGTCTTCTAGGATATATTGCCTGCGACTTTTTGTTAAATTTGGGTTTCCAATAACGCCGCTGCAAACTCTTGTTTTTATGTCAGACAATATAATAACAGACAATCTCCCTTGCTTTTAACCGAGCGTTTCATAATTTCCTAAAATAAAAATTATTTTAACTATGCAACAGAATTCTGGGATCTCCCTATACCAGAGTAATGGTACTGCTTCAGAATGGTGATGACACCCCTCTGATTGGGGGAAAAAAGACCTGCTGATCTGTTCTACATACCAGGAAGACAACAGCATACAGTATGTTGCTTCTATTCGAAACATGTATTTTAAAAGTTTAATTAGGAAGTAAAAACCTTACAGCATACACAGATTTCTAAGCTGAATAGGAGGAAGAAAAATCACCCGTGTTACAAACATAAAAAAGTGGTTATTAACTATCGAAACCTGTGTTTTATTTATTTAATTTTTATTTAGATTAAGAGTTCCCGTCACCCCCATTTCCATTTAAATCGCAAACCTGTGTTTAATGAAATATTTTTTTTTATTCACAATCTGGCAATGCAACGTAAATCGATATCTTTGTCTTCTGCATAATAATGTCCAGCAAATTAATAATAAACTTTTTTTTCGTAATCTTCGCTTTAAAGGTACCCCCGTTGCGGAAGAATTTGACCTCGGAACGTTTACACAGCTTAATATTGTATTTCATTGCACTTTGACAGATTGTCTTTAAATCAATTGTTGTCAGAACAACCCCACCTCCAAACAAGAACAAAATTGCAACAATTTTATTAACTGGCTGTTTCAGTAACTTAAAGTATATATTTAAAGTAATAATTTAAATATATATGGAAATGTTTTAAGATATGTTTATGTTGTGAATGTCTGAAGATTGTATCTTATTTTTAGTTTTTCTTTTGTTTCACGTTTATTTTATAAGGGAGAGTGTCATAGAGACGACTCCCTTACCCCCCATCTTTATTCAAATACTTCTATTTTTTCTCAATCTTACAATGCCAGACAGAATTCACATTCGCTGCAGCCAAATAGCCTTGCAGATCAGAAAATCAAGGAACAAAACAATTATCGCGCCCGGCTCTTCAATGGAATCGCTTTAACATGCTTATGCGTTGGTGTAACAGTCCAGGTGTGGCAAGCTTCTAATGTTTCCTGACTTCGGCGAAAGGAACCTGTCTTTCATTGGAAGACGATGAACACATTCTAACCGTACATGAGAATATAATGCTAGCACACGGGCACGGTTTGGTGCTGTACCAGCTGTCAAAAAAAAGTATTAAAAAAATGTCCATAATATTGCTATTTTGCTATAGCTAAAGTAATTGCTATTGCTGCTGAGTCTCTGTGTCTACAGTACATTGTGAACAAACTGGTTTTACAGGTATTTTCAACCCCCAACCATTGTTGTTTCATAGGTTGTTATCCTGTAAAGCGATTTGAGGAGCCACCTTTAAAGGTGCTATATAAAATAAAGTGTATTATTATTATTATTGATATTGATCATATTTTCCTCCCAGAACTTGTAAAATTGTTGTTGTTATTGTTGTGGTTATCCTGTAAAGCGCTTTGAGAAGCATACTGTCCAGCTTGTCAGGTGCATTCTCTTGTAAAATAATAAGTAGA